GGTGAGTGGGGGGGTGAGTGGGGAGGTGAGTGGGAGGGTGAGTGGGGGGGTGGTGAGTGGGGTGGTGAGTGGAGGGGTGAGTGGGGGGGTGGTGAGTGAGGTGGTGAGTGGGGGGGTGGTGAGTGGAGGGGTGAGTGGGGTGGTGAGTGGAGGGGTGAGTGGGGGGGTGGTGAGTGGGGAGAGTGGGGGGGTGGTGAGTGGGATGGTGAGTGGGGGGGTGGTGAGTGAGGTGGTGAGCAATCCGTTGAGTGGAGACACGGAGGAGGAGGAGGTGGAGGCGATGGTGAGGAGTGGTGGTGGTGGTGGTGAGGAGCTGGTGAGGAGCGGTGGTGGTGAGGAGCAGCAGGAGACGCTTGATCTAGTGCGCTGGAGGGCGCTGAGCAAGCTGCTCCTGCGGCTGAGTGAGCAATGTCCACACCCAGACGTGCGGGAACACTGCCAGCACCTGCAGACACGTGCCCTGGTGAGTACTGCACTCACCACTCACTCACCTACACACTCACCACTCACTCACCTACACACTCACTCACCTACACACTCACCTACACACTCACTCACCCACTCATCCACTCACCACACACTCACTCACCCACTCACTCACTCACCTACTCACCTACACACTCACCTACACACTCACCACTCACTCACCCACACACTCATTCACTCACCTACACACTCACTCACCTACTCACTCACCTACTCACCTACACACTCACTCACCTACACACTCACCCACACACTCACCTACTCACTCACCCACTCATCCACTCACCTACTCACTCACCTACTCACTCACCCACTCACCACACACTCACCACACACTCGCTCAACTACTCACTCACCAATCACTTACTCACTCACCTACACACTGCCAGCACCTGCAGACACGTGCCCTGGTGAGTACTGCACTCACCACTCACTCACCACTCACCACTCACTCACCTACACACTCACCACCCACTCACCTACACACTGCCAGCACCTGCAGACACGTGCCCTGGTGAGTACTGCACTCACCACTCACTCACCAATCACTCACCCACACACTCACCTACACACTCACCTACACACTCACCCACACACTCACCTACACACTCACCAATCACTTACTCACTCACCCACCTACTCACTCACCCACTCATCCACTCACCTACTCACTCACCTACTCACTCACCCACTCACCACACACTCGCTCAACTACACTCATTCACTCACCTACACACTCACCACACACTCACCCACTCACCTACACACTCACCAATCACTTACTCACTCACCTACTCACTCACTCACCCACTCACCTACACACTGCCAGCACCTGCAGACACGTGCCCTGGTGAGCACCGCACTCACCACTCACTCACCTACACACTCACCTACACACTCACCTACTCACTCACCAATCACTCACCTACACACTCACCACTCACTCACCCACACACTCATCCACTCACCACACACTCACTCACCCACTCACTCACTCACCTACTCACCTACACACTCACCTACACACTCACTCACTCACTCACCTACACACTCATTCACCTACTCACTCACCTACTCACTCACTCACCTACACACTCACCAATCACTCACCTACTCACTCACCAATCACACACTCACCCACTCACCTACACACTGCCAGCACCTGCAGACACGTGCCCTGGTGAGCACCGAACTCACCACTCACTCACCTACTCACTCACCTACACACTCACCTACTCACCTACACACTCACTCACCCACACACTCACCTACACACTCACCAATCACTTACTCACTCACCCACCTACTCACTCACCCACTCATCCACTCACCTACTCACTCACCTACTCACTCACCCACTCACCACACACTCGCTCAACTACACTCATTCACTCACCTACACACTCACCACACACTCACCCACTCACCTACACACTCACCAATCACTTACTCACTCACCTACTCACTCACTCACCCACTCACCTACACACTGCCAGCACCTGCAGACACGTGCCCTGGTGAGCACCGCACTCACCACTCACTCACCACTCACCACACACTCACTCACTCACCACTCACTCACCACTCACTCACCACACACTCACCACTCACCACACACTCACTCACCTACACACTCACCTACACACTCACCTACTCACTCACCCACTCACCTACACACTCACCAATCACTCACCTACACACTCACCAATCACTCACCTACACACTCACCAATCACTCACCTACACACTCACCAATCACTCAACTACACACTCACCAATCACTTACCTACACACTCACCAATCACTTACCTACACACTCACCTACACACTCACCCACTCACCTACACACTCACCTACACACTCACCAATCACTCACCCACACACTCACTCACTCACCTACACACTCACCCACTCATTCACTCACCACACACTCACTCACCCACTTACTCACTCACCTACGCACTCACTCACCCACTCACCTACACACTCACTCACCTACTCACTCACCTACTCACTCACTCACTCACCTACACACTCACCAATCACTTACTCACTCACTCACCTACTCACTCACCTACCCACTCACCACACACTCGCTCAACTACACTCATTCACTCACCTACACACTCACCTACACACTCACCACTCACTCACCTACACACTCACCACTCACTCACTCACCTACACACTCACCTACACACTCACCTACTCACTCACCCACTCACCTGCACACTCACCAATCACTCACCTACACACTCACCAATCACTCACCTACACACTCACCAATCACTCACTCACCCGCTCACCAATCACTCACCCACACACTCACTCACTCACCACACACTCACTCACCTACACACTCACCTACACACTCACCTACTCACTCACCCACTCACCTACACACTCACCAATCACTCACCTACACACTCACCAATCACTCACCTACACACTCACCAATCACTTACCTACACACTCACCAATCACTTACCTACACACTCACCTACACACTCATTCACCCACACACTCACCAATCACTCACCCACACACTCACCAATCACTCACCAATCACTCACCACACACTCACCAATCACTCGCCACACACTCACCAATCACTCACCCACACACTCACCAATCACTCACCCACACACTCACCAATCACTCACCTACACACTCACCCACTCACCTACACACTCGCTCACCTACTCACTCACCTACACACTCGCTCACCTACTCACTCACCTACACACTCGCTCACCTACACACTCACCTACTCACTCACCTACTCACTCACCTACACACTCGCTCACCTACACACTCACCTACTCACCTACACACTCACCTACACACTCACCCACTCACCTACTCACTCACCTACACACTCACCTACACACTCACCTACACACTCACCCACTCACCTACACACTCACCCACTCACCTACACACTCACTCACGTACTCACTCACCCACTCACCTACACACTCATTCACCTACACACTCACCAATCACTCACCTACACACTCACTCACCTACTCACTCACCCACTCACCTACACACTCATTCACCTACACACTCACCAATCACTCACCACACACTCGCTCACCTACACACTCACTCACCTACTCACCACACTCACCAATCACTCACCACACACTCGCTCACCTATACACTCACCTACTCACCTACACACTCACCTACACACCCACCCACTCACCTGCACACTCACCTACACACTCACCCACTCACCTACACACTCACCTACCCACTCACCCACTCACCTACACACTCACCCACTCACCTACACACTCACCCACTCACCTACACACTCACCCACTCACCTACACACTCACCTACACACTCACCCACTCACCTACACACTCACCTACACACCCACTCACCTACACACTCACCCAATCACTCACCTACATACTCACCAACCTGTATACTCACCAATCACTCACCACCCACTCGCTCACCTGTACACTCACCTACTCACCTACACACTCACCTACACACTCACCCACTCACCTACTCACTCACCTACACTCACCTACACACTCACCCACTCACCCACTCACCCATTCACCTACACACTCATCCACTCACCAACTCACCCACTCACCTACTCACTCACCCGCTCACCTACATACTCACCCACTCACCTACACACTCACCTACACACTCACCCACTCACCTACACACTCACCCGCTCACCTACACACTCACCCATTCACCTACACACTCACCTACACACTCACCCACTCACTGATCTACTCACTCACTACCCATTCACCTACTCACCCGTGTCTCCCCCGTGTCTCCCCGTGTCTCCCCGTGTCTCCCCGTGTCTCCCCCCTGTCTCCCCCTGTCTCCCCCTGTCTCCCCCTGTCTCCCCCCGTGTCTCCCCCCCGTGTCTCCCCCCCGTGTCTCCCCCTGTCTCCCCATGTCTCCCCGTGTCTCCCCCCTGTCTCCCCCGTGTCTCCCCGTGTCTCCCCCCTGTCTCCCCCGTGTCTCCCCGTGTCTCCCCCCGTGTCTCCCCCCTGTCTCCCCCGTGTCCCCCCGTGTCTCCCCGTGTCTCCCCGTGTCTCCCCCCTGTCTCCCCCTGTCTCCCCCCTGTCTCCCCCCCTGTCTCCCCCTGTCTCCCCGTGTCTCCCCCCTGTCTCCCCCCGTGTCTCCCCCGTGTCCCCCCGTGTCTCCCCCCTGTCTCCCCCCATGTCTCCCCGTGTCTCCCCCCTGTCTCCCCGTGTCTTCCCACTGTCTCCCCGTGTCTCCCCCCTGTCTCCCCCGTGTCTCCCCGTGTCTCCCCGTGTCTCCCCGTGTCTCCCCCTGTCTCCCCCGTGTCTCCCCGTGTCTCCCCCGTGTCTCCCCCGTGTCTCCCCCCTGTCTCCCCCGTGTCTCCCCGTGTCTCCCCCTGTCTCCCCCGTGTCTCCCTCGTGTCTCCCCCGTGTCTCCCCCGTGTCTCCCCCGTGTCTCCCCCCGTGTCTCCCCCCTGTCTCCCCAGTGTCCCCCCCTGTCTCCCCGTGTCTCCCCGTGTCTCCCCCCTGTCTCCCCCTGTCTCCCCCCTGTCTCCCCCCCTGTCTCCCCCTGTCTCCCCGTGTCTCCCCCCTGTCTCCCCCCGTGTCTCCCCCGTGTCCCCCCGTGTCTCCCCCCTGTCTCCCCCCATGTCTCCCCGTGTCTCCCCCCTGTCTCCCCGTGTCTCCCCACTGTCTCCCCCTGTCTCCCCCGTGTCTCCCCGTGTCTCCCCGTGTCTCCCCGTGTCTCCCCGTGTCTCCCCCGTGTCTCCCCGTGTCTCCCCCGTGTCTCCCCCGTGTCTCCCCCCTGTCTCCCCCGTGTCTCCCCGTGTCTCCCCGTGTCTCCCCCGTGTCTCCCCCGTGTCTCCCCCGTGTCTCCCCCGTGTCTCCCCCCTGTCTCCCCCCATGTCTCCCCGTGTCTCCCCCCTGTCTCCCCGTGTCTCCCCACTGTCTCCCCGTGTCTCCCCCCTGTCTCCCCGTGTCTCCCCGTGTCTCCCCCGTGTCTCCCCGTGTCTCCCCGTGTCTCCATGGTGTCTCCCCCGTGTCTCCCCCGTGTCTCCCTGTGTCTCCCCTACTCACCACACTCACCAATCACTCACCACACACTCGCTCACCTATACACTCACCTACTCACCTACACACTCACCTACACACCCACCCACTCACCTACACACTCACCTACACACTCACCCACTCACCTACACACTCACCTACACACTCACCCACTCACCTACACACTCACCCACTCACCTACACACTCACCCACTCACCTACACACTCACCCACTCACCTACACACTCACCTACACACTCACCCACTCACCTACACACTCACCCACTCACCTACACACTCACCCAATCACTCACCTACATACTCACCAACCTGTATACTCACCAATCACTCACCACCCACTCGCTCACCTGTACACTCACCTACTCACCTACACACTCACCTACACACTCACCCACTCACCTACTCACTCACCTACACTCACCTACACACTCACCCACTCACCCACTCACCCATTCACCTACACACTCATCCACTCACCAACTCACCCACTCACCTACTCACTCACCTGCACACTCACCTACATACTCACCCACTCACCTACACACTCACCTACACACTCACCCACTCACCTACACACTCACCTACTCACTCACCTACACACTCACCCATTCACCTACACACTCACCTACACACTCACCCACTCACTGATCTACTCACTCACTACCCATTCACCTACTCACCCGTGTCTCCCCCGTGTCTCCCCGTGTCTCCCCGTGTCTCCCCGTGTCTCCCCCCTGTCTCCCCCTGTCTCCCCCTGTCTCCCCCTGTCTCCCCCCGTGTCTCCCCCCCGTGTCTCCCCCCCGTGTCTCCCCCTGTCTCCCCATGTCTCCCCGTGTCTCCCCCCTGTCTCCCCCGTGTCTCCCCGTGTCTCCCCCCTGTCTCCCCCGTGTCTCCCCGTGTCTCCCCCCGTGTCTCCCCCCTGTCTCCCCCGTGTCCCCCCGTGTCTCCCCGTGTCTCCCCGTGTCTCCCCCCTGTCTCCCCCTGTCTCCCCCCTGTCTCCCCCCCTGTCTCCCCCTGTCTCCCCGTGTCTCCCCCCTGTCTCCCCCCGTGTCTCCCCCGTGTCCCCCCGTGTCTCCCCCCTGTCTCCCCCCATGTCTCCCCGTGTCTCCCCCCTGTCTCCCCGTGTCTTCCCACTGTCTCCCCGTGTCTCCCCCCTGTCTCCCCCGTGTCTCCCCGTGTCTCCCCGTGTCTCCCCGTGTCTCCCCGTGTCTCCCCCGTGTCTCCCCGTGTCTCCCCCGTGTCTCCCCCGTGTCTCCCCCCTGTCTCCCCCGTGTCTCCCCGTGTCTCCCCGTGTCTCCCCCGTGTCTCCCTCGTGTCTCCCCCGTGTCTCCCCCGTGTCTCCCCCGTGTCTCCCCCCGTGTCTCCCCCCTGTCTCCCCAGTGTCCCCCCCTGTCTCCCCGTGTCTCCCCGTGTCTCCCCCCTGTCTCCCCGTGTCTCCCCACTGTCTCCCCCCCTGTCTCCCCCTGTCTCCCCGTGTCTCCCCCCTGTCTCCCCCCGTGTCTCCCCCGTGTCCCCCCGTGTCTCCCCCCTGTCTCCCCCCATGTCTCCCCGTGTCTCCCCCCTGTCTCCCCGTGTCTCCCCACTGTCTCCCCGTGTCTCCCCCCTGTCTCCCCGTGTCTCCCCGTGTCTCCCCCGTGTCTCCCCCGTGTCTCCCCCGTGTCTCCCCCTGTCTCCCCCGTGTCTCCCCCCGTGTCTCCCCCGTGTCCCCCCGTGTCTCCCCCCTGTCTCCCCCCATGTCTCCCCGTGTCTCCCCCCTGTCTCCCCGTGTCTCCCCACTGTCTCCCCGTGTCTCCCCCCTGTCTCCCCGTGTCTCCCCGTGTCTCCCCCGTGTCTCCCCGTGTCTCCCCGTGTCTCCATGGTGTCTCCCCCGTGTCTCCCCCGTGTCTCCCTGTGTCTCCCCGTGTCTCCCCCGTGTCTCCCCCCTGTCTCGCCCCTGTCTCCCCGTGTCTCACCCCGTGTCTCCCCGTGTCTCCCCCGTGTCTCCCCGTGTCTCCCCGTGTCTCTCCGTGTCTCCCCCGTGTCTCCCCGTGTCTCCCCCCTGTCTCCCCCCATGTCTCCCCGTGTCTCCCCCCTGTCTCCCCGTGTCTCCCCATTGTCTCCCCGTGTCTCCCCCCTGTCTCCCCGTGTCTCCCCGTGTCTCCCCCGTGTCTCCCCCGTGTCTCCCCCTGTCTCCCCCGTGTCTCCCCCCGTGTCTCCCCCGCGTCTCCCCCTGTCTCCCCGCGTCTCCCCCTGTCTCCCCCCTGTCTCCCCCGTGTCTCCCCCCTGTCTCCCCCGTGTCTCCCCCCGTGTCTCCCCGTGTCTCCCCCGTGTCTCCCCCGTGTCTCCCCCTGTCTCCCCCGTGTCTCCCCGTGTCTCCCCGTGTCTCCCCGTGTCTCCCCGTGTCTCCCCCGTGTCTCCCCGTGTCTCCCCGTGTCTCCCCGTGTCTCCCCCGTGTCTCCCCCGTGTCTCCCCCGTGTCTCCCCCTGTCTCCCCCGTGTCTCCCCCCCTGTCTCCCCCGTGTCTCCCCGTGTCTCCCCGCGTCTCCCCCTGTCTCCCCCCGGTCTCCCCCGTGTCTCCCCGTGTCTCCCCGTGTCTCCCCCGTGTCTCCCCCGTGTCTCCCCGTGTCTCCCCGTGTCTCCCCCGTGTCTCCCCCGTGTCTCCCCCGTGTCTCCCCCTGTCTCCCCCGTGTCTCCCCCCGTGTCTCCCCCGTGTCTCCCCGTGTCTCCCCGTGTCTCCCCGCGTCTCCCCCTGTCTCCCCCCTGTCTCCCCCGTGTCTCCCCCGTGTCTCCCCCGTGTCTCCCCGTGTCTCCCCGTGTCTCCCCCGTGTCTCCCCGTGTCTCCCTGTGTCTCCCCGTGTCTCCACGTGTCTCCCCCGTGTCTCCCCGTGTCTCCCCGTGTCTCCAGGAGAAAGGGCTGCCATTCCCAAAGTCCCAAGGTTGTGGGCCCAGCACCTTCATGCCTGAGACGGAGGTGAGAGGGAATCCTCTCTGTGTGTCTCTGTGTCTCTGTCTGTGCGTGTGTGTGTCTCTGTGTGTGTCTCTGTGTGTCTCTGTGTTTCTCTGTGTGTGTATCTGTGTGTCTCTGTCTCTCTGTGTGTCTCTGTGTGTCTCTGTGTGTGTCTCTGTGTGTGTCTCTGTGTGTGTGTGTCTGTGTGTGTCTCTGTGTGTGTCTGTGTGTGTCTCTGTGTGTGTCTGTGTGTGTGTCTCTGTGTGTCTCTGTGTGTGTCTCTGTGTGTCTCTGTGTGTGTCTGTGTGTGTCTCTGTGTGTCTCTGTGTCTCTCTGTGTGTCTCTGTGTGTCTCTGTCTCTGTGTGTGTCTCTGTCTCTCTGTGTGTCTCTGTGTGTGTGTCTCTGTGTCTCTGTGTGTGTCTCTGTGTGTCTCTGTGTGTTTCTCTGTGTGTCTCTCTGTGTCTCTGTCTCTCTGTGTGTCTGTGTGTGTCTCTGTGTGTGTATGTCTCTGTGTGTGTCTCTGTGTGTGTCTCTGTGTGTGTCTCTGTGTGTCTCTGTGTGTGTCTCTGTGTGTCTCTCTGTGTCTCTCTGTGTCTCTGTGTGTGTCTCTGTGTCTCTGTGTGTGTCTCTGTGTGTGTCTCTGTGTGTGTCTCTGTGTCTCTGTGTGTGTCTCTGTGTGTGTCTCTGTGTGTCTCTGTGTGTCTATGTGTCTCTGTGTCTCTGTGTGTGTCTCTGTGTGTGTCTCTGTGTGTCTCTGTGTGTGTCTCTGTGTGTCTCTGTGTCTCTGTGTGTCTCTGTCTCTGTGTGTGTCTCTCTGTGTCTCTGTGTGTCTTTGTCTCTCTGTGTGTCTCTGTCTCTCTGTGTGTCTCTGTGTGTCTCTGTCTCTCTGTGTGTCTTTGTCTCTGTGTGTGTCTCTGTGTGTGTGTCTGTGTGTGTCTCTGTGTGTGTCTGTGTGTCTCTGTCTCTGTGTCTCTGTGTGTCTCTGTCTCTGTGTCTCTGTGTTTCTCTGTGTGTGTCTCTGTGTCTCTGTGTGTCTCTGTGTCTCTGTGTGTGTCTCTGTGTGTCTCTCTGTGTGTCTCTGTGTGTCTCTGTGTCTCTGTGTGTCTCTGTGTGTGTCTCTGTCTCTCTGTGTGTCTCTGTGTGTGTCTCTGTGTGTCTCTGTGTGTCTCTGTGTGTGTATCTGTGTGTCTCTGTCTCTCTGTGTGTCTCTGTGTGTCTCTGTGTGTGTCTCTGTGTGTGTGTCTCTGTGTGTCTCTGTGTGTGTCTGTGCGTGTCTGTGTGTGTGTCTCTGTGTCTGTGTGTGTCTCTGTCTCTGTGTGTGTCTCTCTGTGTATCTCTGTGTGTGTCTCTGTGTGTCTCTGTGTGTCTTTGTCTCTCTGTGTGTCTCTGTCTCTCTGTGTGTCTCTGTGTGTCTCTGTCTCTGTGTGTGTCTCTGTGTGTGTGTCTTTGTGTGTCTCTGTGTGTGTTTCTGTGTGTGTCTCTGTCTCTGTGTCTCTGTGTTTCTCTGTGTGTGTCTCTGTGTTTCTCTGTGTGTGTGTCTGTGTGTCTCTGTGTGTCTCTGTCTCTCTGTGTGTCTCTGTGTGTCTCTGTCTCTCTGTGTGTGTCTGTGTGTGTGTCTCTGTGTGTGTCTCTGTGTGTGTCTCTGTCTCTGTGTGTGTCTCTGTGTGTGTCTCTGTGTGTCTCTCTCTCTCTGTGTGTCTCTCTGTGTCTCTGTCTCTGTGTGTCTCTGTCTCTCTGTGTGTCTCTGTCTCTGTGTGTGTCTCTGGCTCTCTGTGTGTCTCTGTCTCTCTGTGTGTGTCTCTGTGTGTGTGTCTGTGTGTGTCTCTGTGTGTGTTTCTGTGTGTGTCTCTCTGTGTGTCTCTGTCTCTGTGTCTCTGTGTTTCTCTGTGTGTGTCTCTGTGTCTCTGTGTGTGTCTCTGTGTGTCTCTGTCTCTCTGTGTGTGTCTCTGTGTCTCTGTGTGTGTCTCTGTGTGTGTCTCTGTCTCTGTGTGTGTCTCTGTGTCTCTGTGTGTGTCTCTGTCTCTGTGTGTGTCTCTGTTTCTGTGTGTCTCTCTGTGTCTCTGTGTGTGTCTCTGTGTGTCTCTGTCTCTGTGTGTGTCTCTGTCTCTCTGTGTGTCTCTGTGTGTCTCTGTGTCTCTCTGTGTGTCTCTGTGTGTCTCTTTGTGTCTCTGTGTCTCTGTGTGTCTGTCTCTGTGTGTGTCTCTGTCTCTCTGTGTGTCTCTGTGTGTGTCTCTGTGTGTCTCTGTGTGTCTCTGTGTGTGTATCTGTGTGTCTCTGTCTCTCTGTGTGTCTGTGTGTCTCTCTGTGTGTGTGTCTCTGTGTGTGTGTCTCTGTGTGTGTGTCTCTGTGTGTGTGTCTCTGTGTGTCTCTGTGTGTCTCTGTGTGTGTCTGTGCGTGTCTGTGTGTGTGTCTCTGTGTCTCTGTGTGTCTCTGTCTCTGTGTGTGTCTCTCTGTGTATCTCTGTGTGTGTCTCTGTGTGTCTCTGTGTGTCTTTGTCTCTCTGTGTGTCTCTGTCTCTCTGTGTGTCTCTGTGTGTCTCTGTCTCTCTGTGTGTCTCTGTGTGTCTCTGTCTCTCTGTGTGTGTCTGTGTGTGTGTCTCTGTGTGTGTCTCTGTGTGTGTCTGTGTCTCTGTGTGTGTCTCTCTGTGTATCTCTGTCTCTGTGTCTCTGTGTTTCTCTGTGTGTGTCTCTGTGTCTCTGTGTGTGTCTCTGTGTGTCTCTGTCTCTCTGTGTGTCTCTGTCTCTCTGTATGTGTCTGTGTGTGTGTCTCTGTGTCTCTGTGTGTGTCTCTGTGTGTGTCTCTGTCTCTGTGTGTGTCTCTGTGTCTCTGTGTGTGTCTCTGTCTCTGTGTGTGTCTCTGTCTCTGTGTGTCTCTCTGTGTGTGTCTCTGTGTGTCTCTGTCTCTGTGTGTGTCTCTCTCTCTGTGTGTGTCTCTGTGTGTCTCTGTGTCTCTCTGTGTGTCTCTCTGTGTGTCTCTGTCTCTGTGTGTGTCTCTGTGTGTCTCTGTCTCTCTGTGTGTCTCTGTGTGTCTCTGTGTGTCTCTGTCTCTGTGTGTCTCTGTCTCTGTGTGTGTCTCTGTCTCTCTGTGTGTCTCTGTCTCTCTGTGTGTGTCTCTGTCTCTCTGTGTGTCTCTGTCTCTGTGTGTGTCTCTGTCTCTCTGTGTGTCTCTGTCTCTCTGTCTCTGTGTGTTTCTGTATCAATCTGTGTGTGTCTCTGTGTGTCTCTGTATCAATCTGTGTGTCTCTGTATCAATCTCTGTGTGTCTCTGTGTGTGTCTCTGTGTGTCTCTGTCTCTCTGTGTCTCTGTATCAATCTGTGTATCTCTGCATCCATCTGTGTGTCTCTCTGTGTGTCTGTGTGTGTCTCTGCGTGTGTCTCTGTGTGTGTCTCTGTGTGTGTCTCTGTGTGTGTCTCTGTGTGTGTCTCTGCATCAATCTGTGTGTGTCTCTGTGTGTGTCTCTCTGTGTGTGTCTCTCTGTGTCTCTGTGTGTCTCTGTGTGTGTCTCTGTGTCTCTGTGTGTGTCTCTGTGTGTCTCTCTGTGTGTATCTCTGTGTGTGTCTCTGTATCAATCTGTGTGTCTCTCTGTGTGTGTCTCTGTGTGTCTCTCTGTGTCTTTGTGTGTCTCTGTCTCTGTGTGTGTCTCTGTGTGTGTCTCTGTATCAATCTGTGTGTGTCTCTGTGTGTCTGTCTCTCTGTGTGTCTCTGTCTCTGTGTGTCTCTGCATCAATCTGCGTGTGTCTCTGTGTGTCTCTGTGTGTGTCTCTGTCGCTGTGTCTCTGTGTGTCTCTGCGTGTGTCTGTATCAATCTGTGTGTGTCTCTCTGTGTGTCTCTGTGTCTCTGTATCAATCTGTGTGTGTCCCTGTGTCTCTCTGTGTGTCTCTGTATCAATCTGTGTGTGTCTCTGTGTGTCTCTGTATCAATCTGCGTGTGTCTCTGCGTGTGTCTCTGTGTGTCTCTGCGTGTGTCTCTGCGTGTGTCTCTGTGTGTGTCTCTGTCTCTCTGTGTGTCTCTGTATCAATCTGTGTCTCTGTGTCTCTCTGCATCAATCTGCGTGTCTCTGTGTGTCTCTGTGTGTCTCTGCATCAATCTGCGTGTGTCTCTGTGTGTCTCTCTGTGTCTCTCTGTGTGTCTCTCTGTCTCTGCGTGTGTCTCTGTGTGTGTCTCTGTGTGTCTCTCTGTGTGTGTCTCTGTGTGTCTCTGTGTGTGTCTCTGTGTGTGTCTCTGCGTGTGTCTCTGCGTGTGTCTCTGTGTGTGTCTCTGTGTGTCTCTGTGTGTGTCTCTGTGTGTCTCTGTGTGTGTCTCTGTGTGTGTCTCTGTGTCTCTGTGTGTGTCTCTGTGTGTGTCTCTGTGTGGGTCTCTCTGTGTGTCTCTCTCTGTCTCTCTCTGTCTCTCTGCGCGTGTCTCTCTGCGCGCGTGTGTCTCTCTGTGTGTGTCTCTGTATCAATCTGTGTGTCTCTCTGTGTGTGTCTCTGTGTCTCTCTGTGTGTCTCTCTCTGTCTCTCTCTGTCTCTCTGCGCGTGTCTCTCTCTCTGCGTGTCTCTCTCTCTGTCTCTCTCTGTCTCTCTGCGCGTGTCTCTCTCTGCGTGTGTCTCTCTGTGTGTGTCTCTGTATCAATCTGTGTGTCTCTGTGTGTGTCTCTCTGTGTGTCTCTCTGGCTCTCTGCGCGTGTGTCTCTCTGTGTCTCTCTCTCTCTGTCTCTCTGCGCGTGTCTCTCTCTCTGCGTGTGTCTCTCCGTGCGTGTGTCTCTCTGTGTCTCTCTCTGTCTCTCTCTCTCTGTCTCTCTGCGCGTGTCTCTCTGCGCGTGTGTCTCTCTGTGTAGATGGTGAGCGTCGGGGCGAGTCAGGGCCTGGTGAGCACAGCCTACGCGTCTGCGTGTGTCTGTGTGTGTCTCTCTCTGTGTCTCTGTGTGTGTCTGTGTCTCTGTGTGTGTCTCTGTGTGTGTCTCCGTGTGTCTCTGCATCAATCTGTGTGTGTCTCTGTGTGTCTCTCTCTGTGTGTCTCTCTCTCTGTCTCTCTGTGTGTCTCTCTGCGCGTGTCTCTCTGCGCGTGTCTCTCTGTGTCTCTCTGCGCGTGTGTCTCTCTGTGTAGATGGTGAGCGTCGGGGCGAGTCAGGGCCTGGTGAGCACAGCCTACGCGTCTGCGTTTGCTGACAGCGGCCGAGTGAACCATGCCCTGCGAGTCATGAGCTGTCACCCTCTCTTCCTGCACCACTTCACTGTCGCTCACCACCTGATTATCTACTCGGACGGCCCGTTGCCTCCCGCTCACCGCCACTACATCGCCGTGATGGTGAGGAGCGTCGCTCACCCGCTCGCTCAGCCGCTCACCCGCTCGCTCAGCCACTCGCTCAGTCGCTCAGTCACTCGCTCAGTCGCTCAGTCACTCACTCAGTCACTCAGCCACTCACTCACTCAGTCACTCACCCACCCACGCACTCACTCAGCTATTCACTCACTCACTCACCCACTCACTCACCCACTCACTACATCGCCGTGATGGTGAGGAGCGTCGCTCACCCGCTCGCTCAGCCGCTCACCACTCACTCAGCCACCCGCTCACTCGCTCAACCACTCACTCAGCCACTCACTCACTCAGCCACTCACTCACTCAGCCACTCACTCACTCAGCCACTCACTCACTCAGCCACTCACTCACTCAGCCACTCACTCACTCAGCCACTCACTCAGCCACTCACTCACTCAGCCACTCACTCACTCAGCCACTCACTCACACAGCCACTTACTCACTCAGCCACTCACTCACTCAGCCACTCACTCACTCAGCCACTCACTCACTCAGCCACTCACTCACTCAGCCACTCACTCACTCAGCCACTCACTCACTCAGCCACTCACTCACTCAGCCACTCACTCAGCCACTCACTCACTCAGCCACTCACTCACTCAGCCACTCACTCACACAGCCACTTACTCAGCCTCTCACTCACTCACACAGCCACTCACCCACTCACCCACTCACTACATCGCCGTGATGGTGAGGAGCGTCGCTCACCTGCTCGCTCAGCCGCTCAGTCGCTCGCTCAGTCAGCCACTCACTCAACCACTCACTCAGCCACTCACTCACTCAGCCACTCACTCACTCACTCACCCATTCACTCACTCAGTCTCTCACCCACCCACGCACTCACTCAGCCACTCACTCACTCAGCCACTCACTCACTCAGCCACTCACTCACTCACCCACTCACCCACTCAGCCACTCACTCAGCCACTCGCTCAGCCACTCACTCACTCACTCACCCATTCACTCACTCAGTCACTCACCCACCCACGCACTCACTCAGCCACTCACTCAGCCACTCACCCACTCACCCACCCACCCACTCACTCACCCACTCACTCACTCACTCACCCACTCACTCAGCCACTCACCCACCCACTCACTCACCCACTCACCCACTCACTCACTCACTCAGCCACTCACCCACCCACTCACTCACCCACTCACTCACTCACTCACCCATTCACTCACTCAGCCACTCACCCACCCACGCACTCACTCAGCCACTCACTACATCGCCGTGATGGTGAGGAGCGTAGCTCACCGCTCGCTCAGCCGCTCGCTCAGTCGCTCACTCAGCCGCTCACTCAGCCACTCACTCAGCCACTCACTCACTCAGCCACTCACCCACTCAGCCACTCGCTCAGTCGCTCAGTCAGCCACTCGCTCACTCAGCCACTCACCCACTCAGCTATTCACTCACTCAGCCACTCACTCAGCCACTCACTCACTCACTCACCCATTCACTCACTCACTCAACCACTCACTCACTCAGCCACTCACCCACTCACTCAACCACTCACTCACTCAGCCACTCACCCACCCACTCACCCATTCACTCACCCAATCACTCACTCAGCCACTCACCCACTCACTCACTCACACAGCCACTCACCCACTCACTCACTCACACAGCCACTCACTCACTCAGCCACTCACTCACTCAGCCACCCACCCACTCACCCACTCACTGTGTGTGTCCGCGTGTGTGTGTCCGCGTGTGTGTGTCTGTGTGTGTGTGACTGTGTGTGTTGTCACTGTGTGTGTAACTGTGTGTGTGTCACTGTGTAACTGTGTGTGTCACTGTGTGTCACTGTGTGTGTGTCACTGTGTGTAGGTGTGTCACTGTGTGTGTAACTGTGTGTGTGTCACTGTGTGTGTCACTGTGTGTGTCTCACTGTGTGTGTGTGTGTCACTGTGTGTGTGTGTCACTGTGTGTGTGTCACTGTGTGTGTGTCACTGTGTGTGTGTCACTGTGTGTGTGTGTCACTGTGTCACTGTGTGTGTCTCACTGTGTGTATGACTGTGTCATTGTGTGTGTATCACTGTGTGTGTCACTGTGTGTGTGTGTCACTGTGTGTGTCACTGTGTGTGTGTCACTGTGTGTGTGTGTCACTGTGTCACTGTGTGTGTCTCACTGTGTGTATGACTGTGTCATTGTGTGTGTGTCACTGTGTGTGTCACTGTGTGTGTGTCACTGTGTGTGTGTCACTGTGTGTGTGTGTCACTGTGTCACTGTGTGTGTCTCACTGTGTGTATGACTGTGTCATTGTGTGTGTATCACTGTGTGTGTCACTGTGTCTGTGTGTGTCACTGTGTGTGTCTCACTGTGTGTATGACTGTGTCATTGTGTGTGTGTCACTGTGTGTGTCACTGTGTGTGTGTCACTGTGTGTGTGTCACTGTGTGTGTGTGTCACTGTGTCACTGTGTGTGTCTCACTGTGTGTATGACTGTGTCATTGTGTGTGTATCACTGTGTGTGTCACTGTGTGTGTGTGTCACTGTGTGTGTCACTGTGTGTGTGTGTCACTGTGTGTGTGTCACTGTGTGTGTGTGTCACTGTCACTGTGTGTGTCTCACTGTGTGTATGACTGTGTCATTGTGTGTGTATCACTGTGTGTGTCACTGTGTCTGTGTGTGTGTCACTGTGTGTGTCTCACTGTGTGTATGACTGTGTCATTGTGTGTGTGTCACTGTGTGTCACTGTGTGTGTGTCACTGTGTGTGTGTCACTGTGTGTGTGTGTCACTGTGTCACTGTGTGTGTCTCACTGTGTGTATGACTGTGTCATTGTGTGTGTATCACTGTGTGTGTCACTGTGTGTGTGTGTCACTGTGTGTGTCACTGTGTGTGTGTGTCACTGTGTGTGTGTCACTGTGTGTGTGTGTCACTGTGTCACTGTGTGTGTCTCACTGTGTGTATGACTGTGTCATTGTGTGTGTATCACAATGACACCTCGCGGTGCCGGACGGGCAACTCTGTCGTGGACAGCGCTGTGGGGGGAGATCCAATTTTGATTGGCTCCTCCCCTCATGGCATATGTATCCACCACAGGGGCTAAACGGGGGCTCTGGACGGGTGCGAGGGGCTGGTAACCCCTCCACCTTCAATTAATTACCACGAAACTACGAATTAAACTTAAATATGTAACAACTAAGCTTGTGCCGGAGGCCCCGGGGGGCCAGGCGTCTATGACGTCTCCTGGCCAAACCCCAATTGGCGGAGCCAGGAGATTGAATACCTACCCTCGGGGCTACTCCAGAAACAACGAAAAGCCACTACGGTTGGCCACGTGGAATGTTCGAACGCTCACTGCAGAGGAGAGGCTGCCACTCCTCTGTCGGGAGCTGGACCGGTACCGCCTGGATCTATGCGGCATTCAGGAGGTCCGGTGGACCGGCTCTGGCTCCTGCCACCATGAGGGGTGGACAGTCCTCTACTCGGGGCAGCAGACTGCCAAACAACAGGGTGTGGGTCTTCTTTTGAACAAAAGAATGAAGGGGGCGTGGGAGCGTGGCGGTGAGGTGTGGGAAGCTGTAAGCCCCAGGCTACTTTGGGCTCGCCTTCCCATCAACCGGAGGCGAGGAATGGTGGTCGTGGTTACTTATGCCCCCACCGAAGATGAACATCCGTGGAGGGATGCAGGCAAAGCCGATGAGTCAGATGCCTTCTATGACCTCCTGTCACAGGTGCTGGCTAAAGTGGCCCCTCGGGATAGAGTCATCATGTTGGGTGACTTCAATGCCCGAGTTGGTCATGATACTGGCACCTGGCCTGGAGTGATTGGAGGGCATGGGCCAGATCAGCTCAATAACAACGGTAGGAGGCTGCTAGATTTTTGTGCAGCCCATGGGCTTGTAATTACCAACACCCTGTTCCGGCATCGGCGCATCCACACAACATCATGGATGCATGCCGGGTCCAAGCAAGAACATCTGCTGGACTACATAGTGACGGACCAGCGAATGCGAGCCCATGTCCTTGACACCAGGACCTACCGTGGAGCTGATCTGCCCTCTGACCATCGACTAGTCATCTGTAAGATGCGCCTGCCATTCTTCCACTCCGGTGGTGGGTGTACACCCAGGACCCCATTCCAACCTAAAGTGGCCTGGTCTCAGTTATCTGATGAAAGTTGCAAGCGAGAATTTCATCATCGCTTGCGGCTGGGATTGGCATCGTCCCCGACTCCTCCTGATGTCGAGGGTAAATGGGCGAGGTTTAGGACTGTGACTCATGCAGCTGCAATGGCTGCTTTGGGTACGCGGTCCAGACCTCCCCAGACACCCTGGATGACAGAGGAGTTGTTCACGATGGTTGAGAAAAAGCGACAGGCCCACTGTCATCGGCTACAGAGTCCCACATCAGAGAATGAGGAGGCTTACCGCAGCCTTCGCTCGGAGGTTCGAAGAGCCGTGAGGCGCTGCAAGGATGGGTGGTGGTCGCGGGTTGCTGAGGAGATGGAGTCTGCCTCAGTGGCCCGTGATCACAAATCTCTATTTAACTCCATCAAAAAAGCAACCTGCAGCGCCACACCTATTACCATCATTAGGGGAAAAAACGGCGATCCAATTTCCGACCCCCAGGAACAGGTTCGCAGATTTGCTGAGCATTTCTGTGAGGTCCTGGGGGAGGGAAAATCCCTCAGCCAGGAAAACATCGTGGCACAAAGTGAGGATGACCCTGCTGAGGCTGCGGTGCCTCAAATATTGGATGAAGTCACCCCCTGTGAGTGGCTGGCTGAGGTGCCATCTGCTGAGGAAGTATTGAAGGCGATCCGGAGTCTGAGACCAGGAAAGGCAGCGGGCAGAGATGATCTTCCAAGCGAAATGCTGAGGGAGGGTGGCGTTTGTGCACAGACTGCCCTATATGACATCATAACAACAGTCTGGACCACTGGACGGGTTCCGCAGGATTGGAAGGATGCCCTGGTGGTCCCCCTTTTTAAGAAGGGGGACCGCACAGACTGTAACAACTACAGGGGCATCT